AAAAAAAAAAAAAAAAAAAAAAAGTTATTCCACTATGCAATATCATCTATAAAATTGTACACAATTAATAGAATTGAGGGGGGAAATGAAGATAGAAAGTAGAGATACCAAGGAGTAGGAAACAAATGGTAAGATAGAATGGATGCTGCTCAACGTGAAAGAATGCCTTAAAGGTCTCTGACTTGAAACTTTATATTGAAAGGTCAGTTATGGATAGCAGATAGATAATTATAATGCTTAAAGTTGTTAAATAAATTGAAAAAGAAAGGAGAAACACTTTATTGAGACCTGACTTTTTGATTTTCTTTTATACTAGAGTTGAAGAGGCTGATAGGAGGCCAGTTGCTAAAAGTGAAGAGGGGCTTTGCATCTATTTCCTGCTAAAATAAGTCATGTGCTTAGCTCAGTGTTGTTCACAAGCAGCCATCGCATACATGTTTGATAAACTGATCAGTAGTGACAGCTTGTTGGAATGCAGGAAAGCGGGAGGACAGCAAACTGAATGACTAGCAGTAGAAATGCTGAATCACTAAGCCAGCAGTCCAGCAGGCGTGGATCCTCATTGTTTGATTCTGAGTTAGTGTGTCAGACTCGATTGTCCTTTTCACAAGGACCTGTGCCTTGCATGTCTGTCTTCCTCTTCGTCAGGTTCATTGCTGAGCACAGAGTAGATGTTTGGTTAGTAGGAGGCAGTTGATTTGGTTGGCTGAACTGCCCTGAAATTTTGTGAGAAATGAAATGAGTAACTGAGGAATTTTTTTAGGCTGTTTTATTTCCAAGAGATTTGGTTATTTTAGTAAATATCTTCTGTGCAACTGTGATTCAAGAATTTTTAAATTGTCCTACTTTTTCCTTATTGGTAAACAGGAAGTGGTGACCTCCCCCACCACATGACTTTACTGCTCTGAGAGCCTTATGATGACATAGCATTTGCTTGTGTCTCAACAGATCCTCCTTGTCAGTAACCTTATCAGAAAGTTTAGTGAACCTTTTAATCTCATACCCTCTTTGAACAATATTGTGAAATAGGATTTTTCTTTTATCGTTTTGATCTGCACACTCTCTGGATAGAGTTGGTTTGGTAGAACCCCTAAAGAAAGCAGCCTGGAATTTTTGCAATCTTGTGCTCATTTTTTCCCTTGGAAGTAGTGCATAATAAAAGTAAAGCTTTTATTGCTCCTATAATGTGGTCTCTAATGAAGGACTTTTAAAACACAAGAAAAGTACCTTAGGATCCGTAGTGCATGGTCAGGAGCTCCTGATAATTTTTGTAATAATCACTTTTCTTTTTATCTAGTATAAATATAAATGAATCCTAGATAAATGTAGAAAGTTCTTATGTAAAGAACGGGTGCTGTGGCTCACACCTGTAATCCCAGCACTTCAGGAGGCTGAGGTGGGCAGATCACTTGAGGTCAGGGGTTTGAGACCAGCCTGGACAACATAGTGAAACCCGTCTCTACTAAAAATATAAAACTTAGCCGGGTGTGGTGGTGCATGCCTGTAATCCCACCTACTTGGGAAGCTGAGGCAGGAGGATCACATGAACCCAGGAGGTGGAGGTTGCAGTGAGCCAAGATCATGCCACTGCACCCCAGCCTGGGCAACGGAGTGAGACTCCATCTCAAAAAAAAAGAAAAAAGAAAGTTCTTATGTATTATATATAACCACTGGTCATCAGGCTAGAGCGAAGAAAAAAACATTGATCTTAAGGTGGTAGACTTTTTTCCCCTTACTGAAATGACAAAGGTGGGGGCCACTTCTTTCTTACGTGTACTCTAATGTGTGATACAATGCCTATAGGTATTCAACAGATTATTTGTGGAATGAATGAGTAACTTTGCCTTTGGGAAGTGTTTTTAACAACCTTTCCTGAAGCACATTTAGTTTTAGAAAATGCTCCCTTAGTAATGGAATGTTTTCTGATTTTACAGTGCCGAGCACTCTCTAAAAGACTGGCCTTGGCTGAAAAGTCTAAGGAAGCATTGACAGAAGAAATGAAACTTGCCAGTCAGAACATCAGCAGACTTCAGGTGAGTTAAGTGTTACCTAAACGGTTTTAATGTGTTTTCATTCAAAGTTCTTTGGTAGCAAAGCAGCATTTCTTTTCCAAAGGCATTTGATCTCTAGATATGCTTTTTAAAATAATCACTGTATTTCTAATTCATTAAAAATAACATCTTATGTTAGACAGAAAGTAGTTGTATTGTTTCTCTGACTTGATTCTAATTTTAAATCATTTTATAGTCAGCATTTGCTTAAATAATATCTATTTACCCAGAATCTTTCCTTCCTTGTACATACCCGTCATGGTGAGCTGTAGGCTTGTTCTGTACATATTACTCTGTTCCTTTTCTTTCCTGTGTCATAAAACGGATCTAAACTGAAAGGTGGGGCTATAATATATTCTCTTTTACTCACTGCCTGGTTTTAAATCTTTGTTTTCAGAAAGCCTCTGTTAATAAAAACATGATGCCAGGCAAGGAAAACACACAGCACTACAGCAACACCCACTTCCTCTTTGCTTCAGATTCGTTTATCAGATTAATTAGGCACACAGGATTAGATTTTAGGCAGCAGAAGAGAGCATGAGAGATGGGAAGAGAGATGAAGGGTGCTTCTTTCAGGGACGGTGCTGCCGGGAGGGCTGTAGGCCATTGAGGCGTAGGATGGAAGCAGTGTGTTGTAGGCCTCACCTATGGCTCAGCAAAACCTAAGGGAATTTGGAAAGATAATGATGGCTTTTCTTATAATTTTATACCTGGCATAGAAAGAAACCCTTAAATTTTTGCAAAGAAATTATGAACATATTTTGAAGACTGAGAAAAACGTTTTCCCTTTTCTTTTAACTTTGTTCTCTTGTTAGGCCTGTGCCTTAACCTTCATGTTAATTGATCAGATAGACCATCTTGATAGGTTGCTTTTCCAATTAAAAGAATTTTTTAAAAAATTGATGTAAATAGTTGTACATGTTTTGGGGGGATGTGGTATCTTGATTATTGTGATACCTTTGTACAATGTGTAATGATCAAGTCAGGGTAATTTGGATGTCCAGCACCTCAAACATTTACCTTTGTGTTGG